ACGGTTGGACTCAATTATCTTGAAGGTGTCTTCCAACCATAATGATTCTGTGATCAAACAAGTTAAACATACCATTGTGTCTTTTATTCCTGAAAGCTTTTAGGGAAGTCATTTAAACCATATGCTTTTAAGTTTTTTCTAATAAAAAGCAAGAAGAGGGTGATCAGCCTAACACTTTCTTGCATAAAATTATTGCATGTAACTTTATTTTTTTAGGTTTTAATAGCCATTGGTCGTGATGCATGTACCAGAAATATTGGTTTAGAGACAATTGGCGTCAAAATCAATGAGAAGTGAGTATTGCTCATCTTCCAGACTACTTATTTGGATTATTCTGTACCTCTTTCTAACAGTGATACTGGTGTTTTTTAAATCTCTACTATTACAATGAGCAATTCAATAAACCTTTAGAGCCTCTGAAACCTTTGAGAAATGAGTGAGTGCAATTATTCATTAACTTCATTTCTTAAATACCTATTTCATTAGGAAACTATTCTGAATTGATGTTCACTTGTTGATCACTGCACTAAGAAATAGATCATGTAATATTAACTTCATTTGCTTAGAAACTACAGGTTAAAAATTCCCTTGAATCCAAGGCTTTATTCATTCCCTGCCTTAATTTTAGCTTGCTCTCTGGTTTTATGAGTGTGCAGATTTCAGCACTTACTGAAGGTTGTTCTGTATAAGTGAGCTCAAATTTGTGGTTCAACAAGCAGATCAGTAAATCTGTGAGATGACTTTTCAGTATTTTTAGTAGGCTCTTAAAGCTTCAAATGATGCCGTAGCCCTGGAACTCATGTGACTAGCAGTCTGGGGATCTAAAGAAGCAGCAAACTACTTGCTTACAGAGAGCAAGTTTCTCTTCTCTCAGGTGTCAGAGTGTTAAGACTAGTGCAAAGAGAGAGTCAGGATCACGTAGTTCAGGAGAGGGAAGAATCACGGCTAGACTGCAGTAGCTAACAAATAAATCAACCTTTTTAAACTTGTGTGTGATGCCAAGTAAGGGATCCAATTATGCTGAAAGTATAGTAAACATCCAAATATGCTTAACTTCCTTGTCATCAGACTTGCACTATTGCTGGGGACGAAACTGGTCCACTGAATACAGAATTTCTAATTTGCAGGAGGCAAAGGTAAATGGCCTGAATAACTTCTTGAAGAGAAGCATAAGCACGCTTAATTAAAATACACTCTCTAGCTGAAAATAACTTATTTGTAGCAGAGCATCTCTCATTTGGTTTCTGCTGAGCTCTGAGGAAAATGATGATACTGAAATCTTTCTTGTTTACTTAAAGGAATGGGAAAGTACCTGTAAATGATGAAGAACAAACCAATGTGCCTTATGTTTACGCTATTGGTGATATCTTGGAAGGAAAACTTGAACTTACTCCAGTTGCCATTCAAGCAGGAAAACTGCTAGCCCGAAGACTTTATGGTGGTGGCTCTACAAAGGTAAAGCTCTGGGCATACAATATTTTTTTGTTTCTTGCTTCAGAATAGTAGTAGCTCATAGGAGTCGATTTGTTGGTACAACTATAGACACAGAAAACAAAGCTGTGTGTGTTTTGTAAAGTGTTAGCTAATAAAACTTATCCTCTCTAAAATGTATTGTACAGAACTTGCACAATCTAAATATGGATTTGTATTTTTATTTTTAGTGTGACTATATCAATGTACCAACGACAGTGTTTACTCCTTTAGAGTACGGCTGCTGTGGATTAGCTGAAGAGAGAGCCATAGAACAATACGGAAAGCAAAACTTGGAGGTGAGAACACTGAAGGCTTGTTTAACTTACGGCTTTATTTATTCTAAAGCCTCTCTAGTAGACTCAGAATGTAGTGTTAAAACAAGATTAGCTGAACAGGTCTTTGTGGAAGTAGTGAAGTGTTGTCATTTGGCCGAAAGACTTTTCATCCCCTGGAAGTTTAGGAGCACTTTACTAGAATTTTTTTGTGTGGCTATTAGCATGCTGCCAAGAAGCATTTGAATTCAGGGAGCTAAACTCAGGCAGAAACGGTGTGTATCTCTTATTGTAATGAAGAAAAGTTTTTT